GTCAGTGTGTGTGGGAGCTGTACCCCAGTGAGAGTCAGTGTGTGTGGGACTGTAGCCCAGTGAGAGTAAGTGTGTGTGGGAGCCGTATCCCAGTGAGAGTCAGTGTGTATGGGAGCCATACCCCAGTGAGAGTTAGTGTGTGTGGGACCCCAGTAAGAGTCAGTGTGTGTGGGAGCCGTACCCCAGTGAGAGTCAGTGTGTGTTGGACTGTCCCCCAGTGAGAGTCAGTGCATGTGGGAGCCGTACCCCAGTGAGAGTCAGTGTGTGTGGGACTGTACCCCAGTGAGATTCAGTGTGTGTGGGACTATACCCCAGTGAGAGTCAGTGTGTGTGGGTGTTTTACTAAAGTGGGACCACTTTCAGGACACAAATTGGGAGGGGGTGTAATTCAATGTTAACAATATTAGCCATTAGCTGTGCTGCCATTAATGATAATAATGAGCTCATGTTGGTACGAGCTGTAAAAGGGTTAAAGAATGTCTCTGCTCTGTCCACTGGTTGGATATTATTCTGAAGTTACCAGTAAGTCTGAGCAGCTCAGTGTCCTTTCTCCATCTGCTCCTGATCTGACTGTGCTGTGACTCGCTGCTGACTCCACCCTCCAGGGATATGGTCCCAAACATCAGGAAACTCACCTTCTGGTTCCCTGGTGACCTTGCCAATGTCTTTGAACTGTCAGACCCTTGCAGGAAGAGGCTTCTTGGATTGGGTTGTGATTTGGGAGCTGGGGTCACAACACTCCTTGAGCCGGCTCCTCCCTCTCTCAGGAGTTGGAGGAACGCCAGGGTCTGAATGAAACCGCAGCAGAACACCGTGAGATTCTCCAAGGGTCTTCATTCTCACTGAGTTTCCACACACCGTCTGCACATTCAGGCATGGCATATTGGACAATATCCAAAAGGAGAATGGCCACGCCCAGCAGGTCTGCTCAGTGCAGCACCTCCAGCACCCACCGACATTGTGACCTCCATCCACAATCCTGCCTAGACAGTGGATTCAAACACACCACTGCTTGAATCCATCCATTACTTCTCTTCCCCTCATTGCTGCCCGTTCGCTTCCAGCCACAAAACACTGCTGAGAACACAAAAACAAAATACAGCAGATGCTGGAAATGTGAAACAAATCCAGAAATTGCTGGAGAAACTCAGCAGGTCAGCAGCATCTGTGGAGAGAGACATTCCCACTCCCATGACCTTCCCTCAGACACTGAAAACTTGCTGGGATTGGCTAGCTTGTTGGCAGAACTGAAAGTTTCTCGCTAACAGGAAAGGTTTGAACAGGCTGGGATTCTTTGCTTTACAAAGAAGGTAGATGAGGAGTGACCTGTCGGAGGTCTTGAATACGATGAAGGGGTTTGATAGGGTAGAACTAAAGTAGATGTTTCAACTTGAGGGAGATAACCAGAAGTAGGAACCTTCAATCTCGAATAGTCATGAATTAGTCTGATAGAAATTCAGAAGAAACTTCTTCATTTAGAAAATGGTAAGAATGTGGAGCTCACTCCCATGGGGAATGGTTCAGCTGAATTGTATCAAAATATTTAAGGGGAAGCCAGATAAATAAATGAGGGAGAAGGAAATGGAAGATATTGGGATATGTGAGATCAGGGAGACAAGAGGACACTCGTGGAGCAGATGGGCTGAGTGGCCTATGCCTGTGCTGGAGACTCGGTGTAATTCTATGAAAGCACCTCTTAGATACTCCATGTGCTTCCTATGGTTAGGCAGAGAACGTTAATCATCAGAGCAATCAGAACAAGAGCTTCAGTCAATCCCATAAACATGATAAACAATTGACGTACTTCTTAAACTCTACAACTCTAAGACACAACTACAAATGGGAGGCAGAGAAATGTGGGTTAGAAGGAATAAGAAATGGTTTGGCAGAGTATTTACTTCAATAGAAGGAATCCAGCACATAAGGCAGGCGAGCTAAGGGAACAGATAGAAACTTGGCAATTTTGTCTCATTGCCAATTCAGAAAGATGGCAGAAAGGGAGACAGCAATGGCACCACAATCAATATTCTCTCTAGTTGTGTGGCCCCTCTAGAGGTGATTGTCCATTGCCAGCCCTGACTGCAGTTTCAGAAGGTAGCTGCCACGCACTGACCTCAGGGGGTCTTTGCAGAAAACAAAATTCAAGAGAATGTAGAGCCCAGTATTCCTGGTGACAGGGTTTCCCATCGAGATGGAAAGCAAAATCAAAAATGAGAGATGTGGCAAATTTGCTCGGAGAAAGAAGTGAATGTGGGAAGGATCATTAAAAGAAGCTGTTTGGATTGACTCAAAAACAGAGTCAGTCAGTCTCTGTGAGTGGACTGTAGACCCCCAGATAGGCAGAGGGATATGAAAACACATCTCTGAGATTGATAGCGAGGATGGAACCCTTAAGTTGCAGCAAGGTATCAATAGACTGGTCAGGGTTGGGGTTGGAAAAGTAGCAGACGGAATTTAATCCAGAGAACTGTGAGATGGTGCATTTCAGAAGTTCAGACAAAGCAAAGGAGCACAATTAATGAGAAGATACTGAACAGTGTAGAGGAAGGGAGGGACATTGGAGTGAATGCCCACAGATCCTGATTGTAGCAGGACAGGTTGATAAGGTGTTAAGAAGGTAAATGGAATCTGTTTCTTTATTGACTGAGGCAGCAAGATTAATGCTGGCACTGTATTAGTTAGGCTGATGGGTAAAGGGTCTGATTCTCTGCTAAATGACTCTAACTCTATCAGAGGGAATGAGGTTAAGGAGAGGAGTAAGTGGTTTAGAGGGGATCTGAGAAAGTATGTTTTCACCCAGAGGATGTTGGAAATATAGAACGTGCTGTCTGAGAGTGTGGTAAACAACATTTAAGAACAATTTAGTTAAGCACTTAACTTACCAGGGCTTATTAGGTTATTGACCAAATGTAAGTAAATGGGATTAGAATAGTTTGGTGTTTGTTGATTGGCATAGACACGATGGGCCAAAGGGCCTGTCTCTATGCCGTAAGACTCTATGGTTCTATTACTTGAGTCCTGTGTGCAGTTCCGACCACCTCCTTCGAGAAAGGATGGAAGCATGTGTGAGAGGGGACAGGAGATTGGTGAGATGTTTCCAGGTTTGGAAAATTGCAGAATGAGGAAAGATTGGAATGGCTGGGATCATTCTGCCTGGAACAGACCGAGGCTTATAAAATTGTGAGGGGCCTGGATAGAGTATTGGGGAGGGCCTGTTTACTTTGGCAGAGAGGTCAGTGACTGGGAGATAAAGATTTAAAGTGATTGGTAGGAAGATTAAAGAGGAGATGAGGAAAGGGTTTTCCAGTTGGAGGGTTGATGGGAGTCTGGAAATCACTGCCTGAAAAGAAGGAGGGACAGAAACCACTTGATTGATTGGGTTGGCCCCTGAACTGTAATCTGTCTGGATACAGGCCAAAGTGGGATCAGGCTGGGGTCAGGGGAGGGGTGGAGAGTGGGTCTCATCCATCGGCTCGCGCAGACACAATGGGCAGACTGGGCTCTCCCTCTCAGATTCTACAAAATGAGAAGATGAGCTGTCATTACAATTGGAGATTCTCACAGTCCCAGAAATAATCTGCCAATCCCCCTTATTTGGAGAAGACTGGGACCTAGTGCCTCATTGACCAAGAGCCTGAGACAAGCTGACTCTGGCCCACCCTAAACCCACCGCCCCCCCAATTGTCCCGTGAATTCCAATCGATGGGGAGCATGTAAACAAGGTTGTGGTGGGGTCTTCTTCTGACTGTCAAATTCTTTCCCGCTTGCTTTTTCTAACCTCCCACCCCTCCACCAACAACCCACTTCCTGCATGTCTCTTTCTGCCCGTCTTCAGTTGGATCACTCTGACCAATGTTGGACAGAATCTGGAATCGCCCGAGGATCCCGGACAAGCGGTTGGTGAACGTGATTTGTTTTAAAGTGATCTCTTTCTGACACTCACAGTCTGTCAGACTGACACTCTCTGAGAAAAGGTGAAGGCACTCAGAAGTTCTGCTCAATACATGAAACAGGGAGCATCAGGAGTCAGGAGTAACAATAGGATAAGGGAGAAAATAGAATGGGAGGGGCAAGGAGATGAGAGAGTGTGGGAGGGATGGGGAGGGAGTGGGATGGGAGAGTCGGGGATGATGGGAGAGGTGGTGGGAGAGTAGGGGGAGAGGGGTGTGGGAGAGCGTTGTGGGAGAGGAGGTGGGAGAGGGGTATGGGAGAGTGGGATGGGAGAGTCGGGGATGATGGGAGAGGGGTGTGGGAGAGTGGGAGGAGAGGGGTGTGGGAGGGGGGGGGGGGGGGGCGGGGGGGGAGGGGTATGGGAGAGTGGGATGGGAGACTCGGGGATGATGGGAGAGGAGTTGGGAGAATGGGGGAGAGGGGTGTAGGAGAGTAGGATGGGAGAATCGGAATGATGGGAGATGGGTTGGGAGAGTGGGGGGAGGGTGATGGGAGAGTGGGGTAGAGGGGTGTGGGAGAGTGGGGATGTGATGGGAGAGGGGTGTGGGAGAATCGGGGAGTAGGAGAGGCGGGGAGGGGTTGAATGAGATAGTGGGGGAGAGATGGGACAGAGGTAATGGGAGAGTGGGGGAGAGGGGGATGGGTCAGTGGGGTGTATTCAGATCCAGATTGTTCACATTGTAACAATGAGGAGAGACAATAGATGGTGAGCCTCTGGAAAATGGGTAAGAGGACGAGGGACATTAGTGGATCCACATCACCCTCTGCGCAGCCCTCATCACCATCTTGGAAATCTCACAGAAAGGAGTAATTTAGGGAATGATGAGGTGATGGGTAGAGGGTAAGGGAGAGAGTATGAGAAGGTAGAGTGTGGAGGGAGAGGGGAATGGAGTGTCAAAGGAGAGCATGGGAGAGACTTGAGAGAAAAACTTGGCATGATGGTGAGGATAAGGCAGATGGAGTTTCGGGAGAGGTTGGTTAGGGAGTGGGGAGGAGATGGATAGGGAGAGGTTGAATGTGGAGTCAGGAGGAGGTGGGTGGGGAGAGGGGTGAAGGGGGATGGGGGTGAGGAGAGGGTGGGAGGGCTGGGTGTGAGTACAGCCCATCTTATTAAGCCCAGTGGATGTCAAGGACGAAAGTTCTTGGCTCTTATTCTGAGCACAGTGTCAGTGTTAAATGGAGCAGGAAGTAAAGGGTTAATCAATTCAGAACCAGGACTGCCCACTCAGTTGCCCCTGTGAGTGACAGACTGGTCTGAGTGGAATTGTTCTCAGTATTTGCAGCCCCAGTGTCTGGTCATTGCGAGCAGACTGTGAGTGACAGTGAGCGAATTACAGAACCAATGTTCTGCTTCGAAATTTGTTTGTTCTCTCTCTCTCTCTCCGCAATCAGCTTTCCTACACCGATGCTGACAGCAATCCAGTCGGAGTGGTGCAGATGACTTTCCTGAGGTTGTTGAGTGCCTCTGCCCATCAGAATCTGACCTATAACTGCCACCAGACTGTGGCCTGGTACGACTCGACCACTAACAGTTACGACAAGGCCATCCGCTTCCTGGGCTCCAATGATGAAGAGATGTCATACGACAACAACCCCTACATCCAAGCCATTGTAGACAAATGTGCAGTAAGTGTAACCTCTTTGCTCTCTCAGGTCAAAGTAGAAGGTTTTCTGGAGCTCTTGAAGATGTTAATTTGACATTCACCTCTGCTCCTTGTAAGACAAGATCATCAATGGGTTCCTGTTCCCTTGCTGTTTCTCAGCAGGCACATCCACAACAGCAACCGTGAGATAGAAATGGGAGGAGAGCAATTGCCTAGAGTTCCCAACCTCCCTCTCCCCAATCCTCCTAGCTCACCCAACCCATTCCTCCCCACCACTCACGCACTCTCTCTCACACACACACACGCACACTCACTGCCTTCTGGTGAGCTGAGATTGTTTGCGGCTTTTCAATTTCACTCCCATCCTCACTGTCCCCAGTAAAAGTCTGGACCATCCTGGGTTGAAATTGAGACCATGGAATTAAACCCCAGATTCCCTACTGATTGGATGATCTGAAACCTGTGCAGGAGCCTGGGCCCCTCAGGCTCTGGGTTGGACAATGACAGATCCCTGATACATTTTCAGTGCCCTGACCTGGGATTGTCACACCATAAGGCATAGGAGCAGCAGTCGGCCATTCAGCCCATTGTATCTACTGGGACTTGGATGAGTGAGGGACAGGATTGGCTGCTCAATGTTCCAGGATCTCATTGTTTTAGACAAAATAGAGAGGAAGGTAAAAGAGGTGGAGGAGTTGCATTATTAATCAGGGAGAATGTTACATCTGCACTCAGAGAAGAGATGCTGGAGGGCTTCATCCACTGAGGCAATATGGGCAGAGCTCAAAAATAAGATCAGTGCAATCACTCTGATTGAATATTATAGGCCTCCCCAAGAGCCACCGCAAGATTGAGAGACAAATATGTAGGCAGACTATGGAAAGGTGCAATAAAAACAGAGTTGTCATTGGGCGTGACTTTAACTTCCCCAGTGATGACTGGGACTCCCTTAGAGCAAGAGGCTCAAACGGGACAGAATTTGTTAAGTGCATCCAAAAGGGTTTCTTGAAACAGTATGTGGATAGTCCTGCTAGAGGAGGGGCCATACTGGACCTTGTATTGGCTAATGTGCCTGGCCAGGTGACTGACCTTTCAGTGGGAGAGCATTTTGGAAACAGTGATCACAACTCTTTACGTTTTAAGATAGCTATGAACAAGGATAAGTCAGGACCTTGCAGGAAGATACTAAATTGGAGGGAGGGAAAATTACGTTCAGTATTAGGCAGGATCTGGGGAATGGTAATTGGGAGGAGCTGTTTTCAGGCAGGTCCACATTTGATATGTTGGAACTGTTTAAAGACCTGCGGGGGAGAGTTCAAACCGATATGTTCCAGTAAGGAGGAAGGACAAGAATAATGAGGGAAATTGTGAATTTAGTCAAAAGGGAAAAAAAGCATATGTAAAGTTCAGGAAGCTAAGATTGGACAGGACCGGTGAGCAATATAAAGAAAGCAGGAAAATACTCAAGCAGGGAATTAGGGGAGCAAGAAGGGGCCATGAAATGACCTTGGCAAGTAGGGTTAGAGAGAATCCCAAGGCATTCTATAAATACATTAAAAACTAGAGGATAACTAGGAAGAAGGTAGGACCACTCAAAGATAAAGGAGGGAATTTGTGCTTGGAGGCAGAGAATTTAGGTGAGATCCTAAATGAGTGCGTTGCAATGGTATTCACCCAGGAGAAGGATGTGGTGGATAGTGAGATTTGTGCGAGCATGCTAACGTGCTCGGGCATTTTGAGATCAAGAAAGAAGTGATGTTGGGTGTCTAGAAGAGAGGATGCAGAAGAGGTTAACCAGAATGCTACCTGGATTAGATGGTTGTTTTCTCTGGAGCGGCAGAGGCTGACGGGAGACTTGATAGAAGTCTATAAAATTATGGGATGCATAGATAGGGCTGATGGTCAGAATCCTTTTCCAAGAATTGAAATGTCTAAAATTAAGGGGCATGCATTTAAGTGAGAGGGAGAAAGTTCAAAGGAGATATGAGGGATAAGTTTTTTACACAGAGAGTGGTAGGAGTCTGAAATGTACTGCCAGGCGTGGGGGGTGGAGGCAGATACAACAGGGGCATTTAAGGGACTTTTAGATAAGCATATGAATATGCAAGGAATGGAGGGATATGGACCAAGGGCAGGCAGAAGGGATTAGTTTAAATTGGCATCACATTCAGCACAACATCGTGGGCTGAAGGGCCTGTTCCTGTGCTGTACAGTTATATGTTCTGTGTTCTATGAGATTTTGGTTGATCTGATAATCCTTAACTCCAGTTTCCTGCCTTTTCCCCATGACCCTTGATTCCCTTCCTGATTAAAAATCTGTTTATCTCTATTTTATCTCCCAGCCTCAGCAGCCTTCTGCAGTAAAGAATTCCACAGATTCAAGAAATTCATCCTCAGCTCTGTAACCCCTTATTCTAAGATTATACCCTCTGGTCCTAGACTCTCCCACAAGGGGAAACAGCCTCTCCACATCTCCCCTGTGAACGTCCCCTGAGAAACAGTATGTTTCAATAAGGTTTCATCTCATTCTACTAAACTCCAATGTGAACAGGCCCAACCTACTCACCCTCTCCTCATTAGGCAGTCTGTCCATACTCGGGATCAATCGAGTGAACCTTATCTGGACTGTCTCCAATACAGGTACATCTCTCCTTAGATAAAGAGACAGGAACTGTTCACAGTAGTCCGGCTGTAGCTGCCTTGTATAGTTTTAGCAATACTTCCCTATTTTTAATTGCATTTCCTTTGAATTAAAAACCAGCATTCCATTTGCCTTCCCTATTGTCCACTGAACGTGGATACCAACCCTTGGTGATTTGCGCACAAGAACTCCAAAATCCTGCTGTGCTGTAGCTTTCTGCAGTCTTCCTCCATTTAAATAATATTCAGCTTCTCTATTCTTGCTGCCAAAGTGCATAACTTCAATTTCCCCACATTCCACTTGCCAAGTTTTTACCCACTCCCTTAACCTGTATGTATTCCTCTGCAGACTCCTTCTGCCATCCTCCCCACTTGCCTTGTTTTTACGTCATCTTCAAATTTGATTCAAACATTTGCTTTCCTCATTCAAGTCATTAATATCGACTGTAAATAATTGTGGCCCCAACACTGATCCCTATGGCACTCCACTAGGTACAGATTACCATCCTGAAAATACTCCCCTTTATCACAACTCTCTGTCTTCTATTGTTTTGTTAATCCTCTATCCATGCTAACCTACTACGTCCAACACCATGAGCTCTTATCTTATTGAGTAGACTTAAAGGCAGTAAAGCTGGATTTGGAGTAGGGGTTATATTTTAAAAATGATTTTGAAATGTGAGCTTTGATGGCTGGGCTCAGCATTTATTAACCATCCTTAGTACAGGAATCGAAACGGTGCCAGCACAGTAGATAGTGTTTGCACTCCAGGCCAAGCAGCATCTTTTTCTCTGTGTACTTTTCATCTTTTTTCTTTTCTTCTTTCTTTCTTCTTCATCCTCATGGCCGAGTGGTGTTGGCAGGGTAGTGGCTGCAGCATCAGCGGCATGGTCCAGGCCTCCTGGCGGGGCCCAGAGCCCGCACACCTGGTGGCGGTGGGCCTGGAGCCCGCACACCTGGTGGCGGTGGGCCTGGAGCCCGGACTCCTGGTGGAGGTGGGCCTGGAGCCCG